GAAAAGTCAGATCAAAGCCAAATTAACTTTTGCATCCGTTTTAGAGGGTGCAGAAGCTAATCCAAGCATTTAAAACCATTTTTGACCCTTTTATGACACACTTAATTTTGCAAAAATTGACTTCGCAAAGCCATTGAAATGTATTGAGTCAGCTTCAATACATTCCAATGGAGGAAACATTGTTTCGCTTAGCGATGTTTCCTATGGGTTTTTTCGCTTAACAACGGCAATCCGTTCCAATTGGAACGGATTAACCGGTTTCCAATGCATTCCTATGGGAAATGGTGTTTTGCATAGCGATGGTTTCACATAGCGATGTTTTTTTTGGAACGAATTAACATCGCTATGCGAGGCACCACTGTAATTGGCAAGGATCAAAAAACAGAAACAGGATCTAAAAAAAATAGAAATAAACAAAGATATATAATTCTGATGAGAAACAGAAAGCTGACAGTCACAGAACACATGTGTACGTGCACACAGTATATGTATGTATGTATGTATGTATGTATGTATGTATGTATGTATGTATGTATGTATGTATGTATGTATGTATGTATGTATGTATGTATGTATGTAATGAAAATCACAGGAAAGCCAACAACAATTAATATTAGCAGATGTATTTTAATCGTACACAAAGAGAAAGATTTAAATATATATAAGAGACAAAAATAGCCCAAATTAAAAAAAAAATCTAAATTTCCAAATAAATTATCTATTTAACAACAAGTCTGGATTACATTATTGTTTCAGCTGTTTTTCAGAAGGAAATAATTGAAATTAACTTGAACAGATAGTAGCCAAACATGATCCTTCTGGTTGCCTTGAGTCAATAACAAAATAGCTAAAGGCAGGCTAATTGCCATTTCAGGAAGTGACATTCCAATTTGTACAAGCAGCTTTATTTTACATAAAATCCATACCATGAAGGAGGTATCTAGCTGTTCTTGGCAGGTAACAAATTAACACTTAGCACCCTTTCCCTATGTAAATTCAGTTATCTTCTAATTCTTTCACTTACTTGACAGTTTGGTTTCTTTAGGCTGGTCACTTCTCAGCTCCTGAGGCACATTATTCTTCTGTACCAGATTTTGAGGTTCCTGTTTTTCAGCTTTTTCTCTGATTTCTGAATCATCTGAAAGGAAGTTTGAAATCAGAGAAAACTTCAGTTTAGTTTATCAGACTGATCCAAACCAGTTTGATACAGTGGTGCCCCTCATGACAACGATAATATGTTCTGTGAAAATCGCTATTTAGCGAAATCATCGTCATGTGAAAACCATTTCCCCATTGGAATGCACTGAAACCCATTTAATGTGTTCCAATTGGGAAAATGCCTCGTCGTTTGGTGAAGATTGCCCAGAGGGCAGCCATTTTGTGAACGCCGATCAGCTATTTTTAATTGCTGTCTTGCGAAAAACGGGCCTGAAAACACCCGTTTTGTGAAGATCAAGCCGCCAATTAGCTGTTTTAAATCGTCGTCTTGCAAATAAACGGTCCGTGAAGCACAGACCAAATCGTCGTTCAGCGAAATTCCCACATAGAAATCATTGTTTTGCGAAGCAAAATGGCAGTCGCAAAACGTCGTCATCATGTGGATTCATCGTTTTGAGGGATAATCGTCCTGTGAGGTACCACTGTATTTCCAGATATCCACTGGTGAAACTAAGTTATGAACGAGCAGGTAACCATGTTGATATGTTAAAACAAAATCAGGGAGTCCTGTGGCAATTTAAAGATTAAGATATTTTAGTTCACAGGACTCCATTTGTTCAAGTTATTCTCTGCACTGCGAGGAAAAGACATACTCACCTCCTTTGGCCTTAATTTCCACCTGGCTATTATTGAGTTTTGTAGCTCCAGAGTTTGTTCCCAGGAAGACACTTGCTGATTTATTCTTGTGTGTGTAAAATGTCAACACCTCCTCCAGATCACTTTCACTAAGGTAAGAAGGGAGAAAGAAAGAGGGAGATGTTTTACATTTAGGGCACAACTACAATGGATACATGGAGATGAGTACTGAGAAGCATCAGTGAGAGAAAATAGAATAGAAGGGGAGAAATGCGTAGGAAATGGAAATTGAACTAATACTTATTGTAAGGAAATTACTGAATGACACTGAATATTGGGTTTAAGGAACTTTGGTCATCAAGAAACACAGACAAAAGCAACCATAGTAGTAACTCCCCCTTGCATCCCGCTCCCCCAGAATAAGTGTTGCCTTAATAATTTTTTAAAAAAATATAAGTTAACAATCTTGTTGGAGTCACAGAAATACTGCATATGCCGTTTGATAATACAGTGGTGCCTCGCACAATGATTGCTTCATACAACGATGAATTCACACAGCGATGGTTTTTTTTTGAGGAATTTCCCCCATCGTTTAACAATGTTCTCTATGGGGGAATTTCACTTAACGATGTCCCTTTTTGCTCATTTAAAAGTGTCTTAAAATGTTTGAAACCTGTTTTAAATGCTTGGATTCCATAGTGCACCTTGTGAAACATGTGCAAACTTAATTTGGTTTTGTTCTGAGTCTTCATTAATTTTTGGTGATTTTTTAATTCTCCCCATTTAAATCAATTGAATGGACAGTTCAATGCATTTAAATAGGGAAAACAAAAACTCACCAAAAATTAAGGACAACTCAGAACAACATCAAATTAAGTTTGCATAGGGTTCAGGAGGTGGGCT